TATCCTGACAGATAAATATGTAGGTCTGAAGTTAGTGAAGGTACATAGAAATAAAGAGTGGAGGAAACAGAGTGATGGGAAGATTGGGAGCGAGGCAGAGAAAGGGAGGTATAGATATAAAGTGACAAAGAGATAGAGGAATAAAGAGTGCAGTTAATAGAAAAATATGGAGACATCAGAGATGACAGGGGTAAGGAGACAGAAATAGAGTTCAAAGTAGAGATAAAGAGAAGGAGAGGTGTCGATAAAAATATAGAAACCGGGAGATAAAGAGAGGAGGAGAATTAAATAAACAAGCATAGGGGTAAAAAATCCGTCAAAAAATAATAAGAGAGGTGTAGATGAAGATAAAGAAAGGAATAAATAGGATGTCTAGACAGACAGAGAGGCACAGTTATAGGCAGGTAGAAAGATGAAGTCAGAGAAAGGGTAAGAGGTAAACGTAGTAAAAGTGAAGAGAAGGCGATTGATGTAAAAAAATATAGCTTCAGAGGTATGGTAATAGAAAGATAGAGAGCTAGACGACTTCACAGACCGATTAAAGATAAGGTATTCTCTCCGGAGGGGAATTTCCAAAATTGAAATTTTTGCCTAAGAATTCCAAATGACATCTGGTGTTTTATACATAAGCACTGGACAGCCATGCAAGTGCAACAATGAAATTTCATAGTCGCTCAAAAGACTGCTTTCGAAAATTCATTGCCTCATGAGAAAGAAGAAGAAATCTCATATATTGAATTGAATGCATCGATGTCCGGATGCTATTGCAGACGCCTAGCATCCAGACATATCGAGCAAATCTCATAGAAATCTAATAAGTACTGAAAAAGTATGGGCGAAGGCAGTGTAATGGTAGGTTGCTCACTATCACACACACACATTGTCAGGGGATCGAGCCCCCGTCGACAAGGGTGCAAAGGATAACCAAGTTTTCTAGCCCTCCGCGATCGTTTGCTCGGTACCACACCCTTCTGGAAGCATAAAAGCGGTGACTTGCACAACGGTTGGCCACCACGAATCATGGTTTAGGTCACATATGCATTCAAACCCACACAACCGATTCTGAAAGGAAGTCAAATGCCGGGCGCATTTCGAAAATGGGACACATTAACGACAGAGACCTCAATAGACAAATTCTCCTAAGAATAATTTTAAATACAATAGTCGATTTTAATAAATTCAGAATAATTATATTTGTAATCTATTACATTGTATTTATTTTTTATTTTGGGTTATACGTACAAAAGTTAAATTTACTGTTAGAAGAAAACTTATTGCCGACTAGGGGTGGAGTTTGTGGAAAGGGCAGGGTCTGCAAGTTGAGCTAAAGCTTCATTGTTGCAGATTGCTACTCATTTAAAGACGCTTGCTACCACAATTTGATAGACCTACGTCCCCGATGTAGCAGTGCTGTATAATTCAAATGTTTCTAGTGGAATAATTTCTCCTTTGCTCAAATATTACCATAATATTAATATTATAATCGCTATATAATATTAAATGTTTTCAATCATTCAATGAATATATGATGTATAGTACTGGCCCAATTTCCTACCGTAATCCCCCGTAGAGTTTCGCTGCAGGATTTTCTGCAAAAAGAAGAATAGTTTGTCATCGAAACGGTCAGATGGTCGTCAGTGATCATCAAATGAAATAAACGTTCGACGAAGTCATTTTGTCAGTCGTAAAGACAGTTTATTATCTCGGGTCAGCTTGAATAAATCACTTTGCGAGTATAAGTGATGCAGCCTGATTTTCCATTCAACCGCCCTACTGAAGATGTTCAACGAATGATTTTTGCCAAAAATTCAAAGTTTATCAGGTGAAGTTGGAATGCGCCATACACTCACTTCCAGGCACAGTGGTGTATGCATGTGATCGCGCCTTCACTACTGACTTGAACGAAATAACTAGTTGTCTTGGAGGAAATCGCCCAGTGGGTATAATCAACGCTGTTTCTTTACTACGGAGGCTCAGCAATGTTCGGCCAACTGAACTTCCCTTCCGAAATAAAAACGGAAATTCGGCACCAATGAAAATTTACCTACCGTAATCCCACTATTTATTCATTTTACTGAAAGCCTAAGTAAATACTTAAGTATCAGCAATATTACGCCAAGAATTAAGATCCAAGCTGGACTTCCCGTCTAAAAATATCGTGTCACAGAGAGGAAAACACAATAACACTGAAATCGAATTATTTTTTCATAGCCTATTTGTCCATCAGCTAGGTAATCCATCTACAGTCTCCCCATTGTTTACAGTTACTGGTTCACGTGGTATTGGGTCATTTGCTTTGTTGTTTACCGTTAGATGTTTATTAGCCAGTATATCTTAGCACTTTCTTGTCGACCTCATTCACGAATGCATTCAGCGGGGCTCAGGTAAAGGGGTTTCTATGAATAAGGAGATTTGGCCGCTGGCGAATTGGCAGAAACGTTGGGGTCTCAAAAAATATACGATTCACTCGGTCCCTTAGAGGTAAGAAATGTTGAACGTTGGCACTTGCCTATTTTCAGTCAACAGAGGCCAATTGTGGAACATAATAAACCAGCAACTGAAAGAGACCAGGGTTACTCGGTAATTAAATAAACAAATGGGAAATAAATAAACAAATAAGTAAACGATATATCTGATATAGAGACACTCGGTAAGCTTTCCGTGCTGAAGAAAAATGAACTGAGCCTCTTAAACGAATCTCATGGCAGGAGATATTTGAAATGATAAGGATGAGCCAAGGATTTGGCAATAAATCATAATTGCAGAGACGATTGAGTGCGTATCTCGTTTATATACATTTAGCACATTACTTCCGAAATACTGGAAAATTGGGTTCGGAACAATTACTTCCTGTTGGAGTAAGAAACGAATTTCAAGCTGCCAGCTGCATGCAATTTCAATGAACGGGCGTTTATTGGAGTACCGGCGCAATCTGTTCTAATTAGGAGAAGTGAAATCAGGTAGAAAATGACTGAAATCGTTTTGTCGCCGGAACCCAAGTCGACTACTCCCACGAAACGTCTAGAAAAAGGACTCCCTAATAAGTATAAGTTGTAAACCGAATATAGCTCATAATGAGGGAAATGATCAAAATAATACCTCCATACCTTCAATTTTCATTATGATTGCCGAAATACTGTAGCGCGTAACTGAGAATAATCCCCGATTGTTAGGAGCTTCACAAAAGGATCAGGAAATCTCATTTGATCTGAATGGCGTATAACCAAGGACTGTGTGGATGCCAGATGCGTCAAGTGTCGCTATGATACCCTTGCTACAGTAATAGGAGCAAATACGTGAGCCGTTGCCATGATTTCAGAAGAATAATACGACTATTCATACTGACTCTAAAAACAATCGATAACGATCGAAGTTAACGGCTTCTGTTTGAAGGGCTAACGTAAGAAGACGAATGCAATGAGATGAAAAATGACATCCTAGAAAAGTGGTGTGAAAAATTGGGTCGCAGTATTGAAGGCAACATGTGTTCCGGACATGTGGGGTTTCTTCCGAGCGCAATTCGATGTAAAGAACTCCTAGGCGTTATTCAGGAACATTAAATGTTACGTCTTCTCGTCCAGAGAAGCTCTTCACGTAGAGAGACGTCCGACTTCATCAACGCGTTTTTCCTCACAAAAGGATGAAACCATCTGGTCAATCCTGTTCGGGAGTAGGCAATAATCTAAAAATTGACATCTGACAACCTTTCTTAATGCGTCTGACTATGAACTCCTTTATGATCATAGGTGAGTATCCATTTGGGATTCCTAAGAAATTTTCTACATTCTACATTTTTAGGAGACTTGTGCAGGAGCACCGAGCGGTTCTCTCGTGAGCCGATTGTGGTCCGTTCGTGGATCCGTGGATTTAATTGATTCAGTTTTGATTCGGGTCGGCTTCCCAATCTATTGGAGGCCCCTCATGAAACCATATCCATTTCAAAGCCAACAAAGTCTTGAAGGTCATAAAAGATCCACGACTCAAAAACGACAGCTAGGCGAAGGAAGAGCGTGTAAAGTAAATAAATTAACTACGGTAGTACTACATCCTACTTGAAAGCCCTTCAGCACGAAACTGTAGCTAATAACAACAAGCGGACAATGGTTTCCAAGAAACGAAAATACTCTTGAGGATGGCAAGGTTTTCACAAGGGCATAGGCGGAATAAATAACAACAAGTAATCGAAGGATTTCCGACTTATGGCTCGATCGTACTTATCATATGCTCAGCGCTGTAGCTTGAGGAATTCCATTCAAAATCAAAAGTGATAATCGATAGAGAAAGGAAAAAATCTTTTAGTGAAGTCCCTATTAGGTTGCGCCACACATTCAACTTCTACTCAGAAGGGCTGAGATAATTTGGATGGGTATGTGGCGAGCCACAAATACGGTGCCCAGGCATCGTACAAGACAGTGCTTTTATCCTCCCAAACGAGCCTGTTTAGCATCTATCAGCCCAACCGGTAGGGATGGAAGACTTGATTGGTTCGGGCTGGTATTAATGAAATATTTATTAAATCTCTGGACTATGTGCCTGATAGTGAACCCGTTGGCCCTACTCTACCTCTACCTAATTTATGAATTATTAGTATAAACAGTATTAAAGTAAGTATTTCATCAATTGGTTTACCCATTCTTCAAGGAAAGTGAAGAGTTACGGTATCTTAAACCTATAATTTGATTTTATCCAAATCGTCAGCACAATAACTGTGTACCTCAGTTTCGGTTCCAGTCCAATTTTCAGAAAAAAAAACTACCAAAGAAATTTAGACAAAAATTGTCGTAGATTAAGATTCAGAAAATTTTGATACTAAATTTATGCGTAACTGACGGGTAGTGAGGTCTTCAAATAATCATTATATCATGCAATATTTTTGTAGACAATGATGAAAAGAACATGCAATTCGTGAAAGCTACTACAAACAGGAGTTGGGTGGAGGTGGATCCCGGAGCGGAACTTTAAAAAATTAATGGCCGCAATCGAGGATAGCCAACTCCACCCTACCGATAAAAGCGGATTCCTCCTGTTTCACAATCATAGCTCTTCGTCGACGACGATGAAGGCGGTGGCATGATGTGTGGTGTCGCAGGGAGGCGATTTTCCGTACCGGTTGAGGCGTCACATTCGAATGCAATTGGCGATATGGAGGGCACACGATACAAGTTACGACGACATATTGGAGTTTTGTTGCTGAAACAGACTGCACATGCACTCAGACGATTATGAACCTAGGAAAACAAAAGAGGACCAATTTTCACGAATCATGCAGTAGATATAATACTTTCATTTATAAAACATGCATTGAACTAGTAAAACCAGATTTTTTGACTTCAGCAAACATTAGAGAAAAGGAAGTTATATAGACAGGCCTTTCTTAGAATTAAGCATACACGTCCCCAAGTCACTCTGCTCTCCGGACAGCGCCGCCCACACGCCCACACACCGCCGCATTCTCCAGATGGCGCCGCCCACTCCCTCAAGGCGACCGAATCAGGATATTCTCGAAAAAAGCAATAAGTCCAAGTCTCCGGGTTTACCGATACAGTAATCCTGTAAGTAAATGTACGTGTTTTCTAGTAACATAACCTTTGCTTGAGAATTTCTTATTCTGCCATTCATTCCCCTTGGCTTAGCATTACTAAACCTTGAAGTCTAGCACAAATTTTCCAGGGAATAAGAAAAATTTTCGCTTGACAAGTCAGGCGCACACTTGCCATTTTTATTATTTCCTGTAAAATCCATGAAACAAATTATTTGCCAGCATACGGTAGAGTCTCTCCAAACTTCCACTTCCACAGAATACAAGGTGTTTATGGATGCTACAATCAACAGTATGCCAATCGTTAGCCGGACGGCAGCGTGGCACAGTGTCAGCTATGAATACTTCTCAAATGGGAGAATCTAGTGGTCCTTGAACGATATGCACTTACATGGTAACTGTAAATGTAATCACCAAAGGATTCTGCCGTTCTTTGGCAAACTACGCTACAGAAACAAGGCGTTTTTTAGTCATTGAATTAGGCAGAAGCTGCTCTACTGCAACCTACTCAAAAATGATGGTAATTTAAATACAAAACTATTGTAGCGATAAACAAATAAGGCTTAATAGCTCAGTTAAAATGAAAAATTAATGAAATTATTGCAAAACCTTCGTGGTACTGAGATCAGTCAAGTAAACTGCGGAAAAAAAACTCTGATCAGCCCTTATCAATGGAGAAACTCGTTCATCAATCAAATCAAATAGATTTTGGTCCCATACAATAGCATATTCATACTATATGTCTGAGCATTCAAGCAGTCCAATCCCCGAGCCCCGTCTCTCCATATGAGGAAGCGAATGACGAAGCCCAAAAAATCGTCATACTGTACTCCATGGGAATTTCTCGCAAAGTCAAATATGCACTCAAGTCTCTCTCGCATTCAAGTCATCAACACATGCGATTGAAGTAATCAAAAAAAGTATTCCCTTCAATTGCTTTTCATGCTTAATGTGCAGCCAGAACTCATTCGTCACACAAAATAAACGGGCATGATCAAAGATATCATCCTACAAGTACGTTCATACAGTAGAGGCAACAGCCATAGGACCCTATAGATTGTAGGAAGCTTGAACACATCGTCGCACAAATTTCTTTACGAAATGTAAGCGTGATAACTGAGTTGAAGTACTATTAGTCTGTCAAACGGGCCGAGTTATTCCGACATGCAGGCAGGAATCAGATGATATGTATGTACATAGCAGATAAATTCCCAACATCTAATTGCTAAGGAACCGACAATCACACGACATTTTGTGAGGCTAAAAGGCTTATAAGACCCCTATCCTACACTCAGAGCACAAGAGCCGGACATGTTATTTGATTTTGTGTTGGCGGTTGGACCGGTAGCTTCACTGACAGGACTTATTGGCATCTTTCATAGTCCACGACCGGTCGCGCGACCAGTCGCACAACCGGTCGCTCGTGAAATGGGTCCGTGACCGGTCGTGGACTATAAAAGATGCCATTGGGACGTACCGAGCATTAGCGTGATGGTAAGAATTCTTCTCAAAGAATCTGCACGGAAGGGAAAAGGTTTCCCTCGGTCTCGCGTTCAGAACGAATGAAGATGTTACTGACGTCCTTTAGAGTCAAGTAATTCGATGATCAAGAGAACAAGGATGATATAGGCGATTTTTATCTCCATATAACTAGTTAAAGTCGATCAAAGCGCTGAAGTTGGCATCGGTCTGTTCCCGCATGTAATTTTGTGGACCATATACCCCAGACACTGCTACGCGTCTGAAAGATTAAAGGCATGAATGATTAACGTGAAACGGGATTGATAATGGTAAAAAACAACCTACACAAATGCAGGATTTGAAACGATGACTAGTCAAAGCTGATTGCCTTCGATTGTGTAGCTTCAGCGGCTCAAAGTTTTGGTGACCAAAACGAAGGAAGAAGGAACAAGCTCACTGGATCGAAATGTTCCGTGAACGAGCCATGTCAAGCTACAGGTAAGCGCTCTGGAGAAGATACGCACCCCTGATTCACTGAGACAAAAGTCGGTGGTTCGCGAAGTTTGTTCGGTCGAATTGCAAGCCAACTCAGAAAAAGTAGTGACCAATGGACCGTACTGCTCGTTTCTGCTTTGCGCTCCACTGATCCAGATGATTCAACCACCTCAGTGAGCTCAGTGACCAGAGAAGATTCACTACTTTGCGTGGCGCACATGGTAGGCAGTTAAACATGTACCAGACAACAAATATTGGGCCTTGTTCAGAACCTCTCAGTACTTCAGGTTACATTACTGAATTCTCAGGAGTAAGCAAAAGGCGACCAGCCTAACTGCCGACAAATTCAATGAAACAAAGGAGGTAATATCTGTAAAAAAAAACTACTCACCACTTACAGACAGCACGTAGAACTTGTTCGTCAGGAGCAAGTGGAGTACCGGTAATGGTACCACGACCAACACGTGTCATAAGCTCATCAAATCGTCGAAGTTGGGACTTTGCTTTAGCTTTCCGGTATTGGAACCTGAAACACAGCAAAAAAATGTATAGGCATTAGTCTTTCATACGTATTAAAGGCATCTGAGTTCTAAAATGGACGACAAATGTATAAGAAAGGAGGTTAGGAAGGGGATATGGTAGCTGGGACGCTAGATCAGAAAGCGTGCGGCGCTTCATCTCACTTCTGGAGGACGAGCATTCCCAAGGAAGCGATATTTGTTCATATAGCGGACGATTTACACATTTTTCAATGATCGATCGAATGATTCAATGACAATAATCGATCGATTTGAATGATAGGTCCACCTCAATATTTTTAAGGGTCCAGTTGCAGAACGAACAGAAGGGAACATCTTTCATAGGATCAGCTCGGTAGTGCCAATCACATGAATGCCATTTCCAGCACAAATGCGAAGAATGATACTGGTCATGCAAGCGCAAGCAAATGCCTATCCCATAAGCACGCAAACGTGAGCGAGCATAAATCTACCCATCTAAATCTGCCTTAGCCTTACATTCATTGTTTGAAGGAAGATGAAAAGACCCACCCAATAAATTCATAGGCAGCCGATAGTAGTGATACTCCAATAAGTAAAAAGAGCACGATTAATGTGATCACCAACCACAACACTAAATAACAAACCTCAAACCACATTGAAAGTTCCAATACCAGACATACTACAAAGGTTCACCCTGATTTCCAATACTGGAGCTTTCGTGTCCCTTGATACAGTATCTTCTGCACCAAGGGGAAAAAAAACTTGGGACATATTTCGTTGAAACATTTGGCTTTTAGTGAACGTATTCATTGAGACAATCTCAGCTTGTTTTCAAAAATGATCATTTTTCGTCTAATTTTCATGGAGGATATGATCATATCAAAATGCATTGGTATGCACATGTTCGATCAAATGCTCCTTCAAAATGGCGAATGGTAGGCATCTGTCTTGCGACTGACCAACTAAGAACGATCCCTTCCTTCAAATGGAAGCTGGCTATGTGTTACTTATTTGCTATTACAATTCTTTATTCTTCCGTGCTGACGATATGGCGCTGACAGAGACACAAAAGAACCGAATTTAGAAGATAATATCATACGAAAAATGACAAATAATCGGTAATGAAAGGTATCTCAGTTGCCCAGGTCAATCTACATAGTTGCGCCGCCTTAATCTGAAGGAAAGAAAGGTTGCTGTTGTCTGTGACGATAATTTCTGGAAACAGAAGAGGTGTTGAGACCAATACGACCATTTCAGCGATGAGCTTGAGCTCTGACTGGAACTCCTCTTTTCGTACAAAACATGACATTTTCTTAGATATCTCATAACCACTAACCCAGCATTGGCAAGCTACATACATAAGTAGACACGGTAGAAGTCCCGTATTTGAGGAATGGATTGCACTTCAGGTCCTGACCGAGACCGTGAAGGGGAGCAGAAGTAAACGCGATGAATAGAAATGATCAGGTGTTCGAGATTTCTTAACTTTCTGGACAGATAATATAGGTGATAAAAGGTAAACCAGGATAGGTCGTTTACAGAGGATGTGTAAGTGCAAAATGAGCAGAATCGCAAAGAATAGGCAACTTTTATAGTCCACGATTTTGCCAGCGACTAGTCACGCGATTGGTCGCGCTACCGTTCGCGGACCCATCTCGTTAACGACCGGCGACCAGTCGCGCGACTGGTCGTGGACTATGAAAGCAGCCACAACTAGCCGTAACGACCCTTCTTTGGTTTACCTTCCTATAACACTGCTCCCCCTCTTAGTAATCCGCCCTATCCTCTGAAAAAGAAAAGGTAAACGTCGGGTACAGAGATGGGTTAGGGTGAAACCCAAGGATTCAACAATTCAGTACTAGAAAACAAAGTTTAGAGAGTAGAATATGGCTATGAAAGATATACTGAAGAGACTAAAAGATTTTCTATGAGAACGGTTGATGACGGTAGATAGAACTACGAGCAGTCTTTTCACCATACAGCGGTAATAGAGTCATTGAGCGAGAAGATCGTCTTGCTGTAATACTAGGGTGCAATATCGGGATGCTCCTCTCTCAGAGTTGATTCCGCTGAGAGCCGCCCACTTCGGACGGCAGCGCATATCAGAAAGCGACACCGGTTGAAATAAAAATGAATGAAGAAACGGATTCAGAGGAGAGCTTTTTTCGTCTCATATTGAAGACAACTAAAGCAAATAATATCGGATTTATAGCCAGCGTTGTTTCTTAGTGAACGGGGATGTCATGAGAGCTCCATTGGTTGTACTACTGATGAGCACGTCTCAAAGAGGTAGACTGTGGATCAGATTTCTTCAAAAACTTCCCTCTGCTAAGATTCAGTCTTTTAACAGCCCGGGAAACGATTTCAGCGGGATTAGAATGGAAGAACAGTCAATGAAGTAAGAGAGAAGTAAATAGGTTTGAGTAAATAGGTTGTGCAGTTTTTTGGCATCAATCAACTCTGTTTTTGAAGTGCCTCAGCAGATTGGCCTGGGCGGGTATTGATCCGCTGTATACAAACTTCAGAGAATGCATGGAATGGTGCACCTCTTGACAAAAGATTCGCTGCCCGCATAATCGTGGGAGAGTTACGCATGTAAGTCTCAAGAGAGACATCGGATACGGTACTCGGAGCTGCTGCTGATATTGCTGAAAGCTGAATGAATTATAGCTCGTTTGGAAGGGCACGGTAAGGAGCTGCGGCCACATTGAACCTCCTCTCTTGCGTGTAGATAAAATCATTCCAAAAAGAATGCGTTTTTCACAAAATTCGTGCTGCTGCTACCAGGAACTTACTAAAGAACTATGCACAAAATGGGGGCAAGGTGGACCATACACCATCTGGAAGCATGGTCTATCGAAGAAACAAAAAAAAAATTAAATATCGACGATGCTATGGAAATCGATAATGCGCAGGTGAAGAGAAGTGAAGAAGATGAAAAACAAGAGCCGACCGACTCACTTCTTGATTCTTTAGAAATGAGGTGATTCGCTAACCCAGTGTGAAGCTGAATCTTCATCCTTTTTGAAGGTAGCCATTCATTCACCCGTTCTCATGTGCAAAGTTGAACTGCTGATTTGACGAAATTGAAAAGAATTCTGGCAGAAAACGATTTGAAAAAAAGAAAAAAAAAACAAAAACAAGATGGCCCCTTGTGTTGGTCTTCCGAACCAAAATAATGAAGAATCAGGTAGTCAGATTTTCGGGTTCATCAAGTTCATGGCCAATCCAGAAGTAACCATGATCAGATGAGTTCGCGCCCAACACGTGTCTAATCCTCCGAGCTTCGAAAGCTCTCGACTGAAGATGGACTCACGATCAAGAACTAATAAAGGCCCTCTCCGAAAACACACTAACAATTCAAAAGATTGTTTCGGTAAGTCAAGTACGAGTCGTTGGTGGAGAGAACGACTTTTGGACTTGTTAAACATCCGAAGCCAATGAGGTATCTCAGATATAGGTGATCATCCCGGACCAGAGTTTTATGGTGAACAAATGACAAAACACCTAAGCCTATAAAATTCCACCATACCAACACCAGTGACTGATTTTCCTGGAATTCACAAGAGTGTTTCGACAAAATTAGTCATTGAGAGGGAAACACTGCACTTGCGCGCCCTGGAGACCTTTTAAAACGTGACATTTACTGAACGCATAAGCTTCTGATGATGCCCGAACAGGAACATCGACTATAAGCCAGGGAATGGGAGGTATTTACATTCGTTCTACGTTCATCCTGCATGTCAACATGCTATGACTCTTCTATTAGGATTTCGGGAACCCTCAAGAAATTGACCAAAACAACATCAGAGCATGTGATGGCTTACACTTCAGCAACGGGGGCAGATACTGAAGTGTTTGTCACCTCAAGAGCCCACCACATATACGGGAAAGATTATCGATCGTGCGCGCGCAAAATCAATTGCGCATTTCTGGGCATTTGCCGTAGTGTGTGATCAGAACTGCCCATTCAGGCATCCGAGAGCTTAGAATTATGGAAGGACTTATTTGTGGTGTGACATACGTCCATGGCAAAGTTTTTACACTTTCAAACAACACCTATACCATTAAGCTTTGACAAAAATAGAGTTCGATCCCCTCTCACTCAGTAATCCCAATAGTATGTCCGATACAGAAAGAGTATTCACCTATATGTACAGTACATTAGGTAATCTTTTATGAAATAGAAGGAACTTTAAAGAAACCTTCCATGAATGATCCCACGTTCATTTCAAATGCAACAGCATAAAAAGAGAGATCCAGACGCTTATGAAAGGACTTCATTTGGTATTCAAAGAATAATGCTGAATTCAAATAACATTTGCAATCGCCGTCACGGAAATTCATATAACTTTTAAGAAAAACAGAGGACTTTTTCTCCGCAACAAGGATGCCGAAAGTAGAGCTGGCCAAGATAACTGTCACAAGTACTTCGAATAACTAGTAACTTCGACTTCGCCTTCCATTCGGAATCGCAGTGGTGCTCTGAAGGCGTATATGCCCAACAAAACGACTTGGGATGGCCATCTAAGAATCAGTCCCTTATCCTCTCAGGACAAGTTTGGCACCAAATGACCAACCCCGGAGGCATCACATAGAGATTATGCTTTCAGTTAATATTACGTCTCAAAATGTTACCAAAAAGCGCAAGGACAGTGATTTCCCTTCAAGGAGAATAGCACTCGAGAATTGACCTCCAACAGATTTCACTACATATCATGAAAAGTAGGAGTTTCTACTCCGAGAAATTCACTGAACATAGGCTGTAACATCATGGTGATTCAACACTTCAGACGTTATCTTAATGAGACCTGGATTATTTCGGTTGAGGTATAAGATCCAGGCGTCTGTCATGAAGACGACTGTTGAGGGAAACTTCGGCCGTGGGTGTTATAAAAACGAGAACAAATTCTGAGTAGATGATTGCAATCATCCAATCACCATTCCGAAAGCGGTTATAACGAAAGGAGAGAGAGGTAGAAAAGCAATTTGGTCAGGGTCGAAGCTCAACTTTGATGGGTGGCAAACGGCGCTAAAATGCTGTTCAATGAAGACGGGAGAAAGAAAAGGAAACAACGTTTGAACTCATCTTTATGATGACCTATATGAACTGCCTACTGAAGGTCAAACTCCTTCAAAGAAGATGACGCGACATCTCTGAATGTTCTACCTCTTCCAGTAGCTAGCAACTCCAGTAACCGCATGTCAGAAGAGATTTGCTATCCCTATCTCCTTTGCTACGGGGCAACCTGGTGACGAAATAGGCTTCTCTCTGTTTCCAGTCTGCACGGAATAAGTAAACGCTGAGTTTTCGACAACATTATAAATTAACCCATTGACGAGCGCGTGGCCCTTCGGCGGGCCACACCATATCCTGTTCCTGTAGTATTTATATTATTTATCAAGTGTTCTTATAATTTTTTTCATGTTTTCAAGTATCAACTGTGCTCACAACCTTCTAGAGGAACTTGAGGCATCGTGGTCCAGAAATCATTGACTTCCAACTACAGTTGTAAGAGAAATTGAAGGTTAATGCAATGACAAAGTAAAAGGCGCGGTCGCCAATGGATTAATCATTACCACAAATCGTTTCGGGGGATTTTCACGAGCTTCGCATTTGGGAATGCTAATGACGACCGTCTTTTCAAACATCTTATTTTTTGAAGTTGTTCAACGAACCAAAAATTCACCAAGGTAATATACTCCGTCGAAAGAACACCCTTACAATTGTAAAATTAGAAGAATTTCCAGGACCACGCTGTATGTAGGTA